TCCAGCCCATGATGTACTCCTGCCTTCCAAGATACTGTCTCCCTCCCCTAATTGTTCTTAGGATTAAAGGCTAGGACCTAAGTCTAGTTTGTAATCTCAACTAGTTTAACTATAATGAATGATAGATCTACACCCACGCACACTCTCTCACACTTTTGAAGCCTGAGGTTAGGATAGTACATTGATGCCTTTCTGCTAATGATGAGCACCACCTGTGGGGCAGGGGCTTTGCTGTTTCCAGGTAAATAAAAAATGGCTACACTAGCAGTAGCAGGCAAAAAAGAACCTACCGGTATTCTGTGAGAAGGATGGGTTGCTCTCAACTCCTTCAGATTCCCTAGCCCACTTTTTTTGTGTGTATAAAAATCCTCTAGAATCCTTCAAGACAAAATTGAGATATTGTCATTGTAGTGTGAATCTACCATCAATCCTACATGTAGTTTCCTAGCCCACTAGTATTCTCGATTTTAGAGTTTTCTGAGGAGAGTATTGTCTCTCCACATTATAGCAAGCCTTTACATTTAATTCATACTTGCTTTGTCTATATTAAATATACTAGATTTTGGCTGATTTCTTGTAGACTTGAAATGATTAAACATTGCCACCTGGTGGTGACAAATTAAACTGTATAGAGAGTGTAAGATTCAATTATGCCAAATTGAGGAATTTTCAATAACCAACACTCACACACTAATATCCATATATTATTAATCTCAAAAGTTGTTTATAATGGGTTAGGCTTCCAGACTCCATGTCTGTATTTCACTCTAACATGGGAACACCAAAAAATCTTATTCTTTGGCTTTGATTCAAAAGACTACAGAGCACTTGGGACTCCCACTGTTAGGTATGGAACCAAAAAGCTATGTAACCATATGGTGTGGTATGTCTTCATTTTCCATAGATGACAGTTTGACAGTTCCAGCTGCACACACTGCTGATTTACTAGATTATGGTCACCATCAGTGAGAATGTCTATAAAAAGGCATAAAAACCTGAATAAGTTAAAAGACAAAAGTTGCAGCTCATATTTATTATTTTGTACAGAGTGCCCTGCAGGTACATATGGCTACGGGTGCCGGCAAATATGTGACTGTCTGAATAATTCAACATGTGATCACATCACTGGAACATGTTATTGCAGCCCTGGCTGGAAAGGGGCAAGATGTGACCAAGGTAATATTTTCTTTCCAAATGGTCTTTTCAAATGCTGGATGTAGAGACAGTGCCATAGCAAGCATCCCAAAGCAGAGGATGAAAGAAAAAGATGCAGAAACAAATGCAGAAGACCATAAATCCTAATAAAATATCTTTGCTCATATTAGATGGGTGTTCGATCATATGTGTATTCAGTCAAAAGTAAACCATTGATTTTAATGGGGCTTCATCCCCACTAGGTGGGTATAGGATGAAATGCTAAATCTCTCCTTGCTTGCTTGCTCTTGCATACCTGTCTTCAATTGCTCTGAGTATCCTTGAACTAAATGCCAGGTCTTATTAGCATCTTGGATAGAGGTGCCAGTATGGGTTCTGGGGGCCTCATTTGGGGGGAAAGACATGCTTCCTAAATCTCCAATACTCTATATTTGCCTAATGTTCTCCATCCATTTGTTATCAATCAAGTTGTTTGAAAATTGTCTCTATTTTATTTCACATCAATTTTTGCTGAAAAGATAAAATAATACATTCAATTTTACAACATATTTTACATTTCTAAAAGGAACAATACTTTTAAAGAAATAATAATAATAAATATTTAATATTTAAAGGAATAATACTATATGGTATAAGATGGTACTTATATCATTTTAAGAAGTTAAGATATCTAAGAACTCATCTGAATGTTTATTTTAAAAGCAAGTTGTTGATCATTTTTTGTGGGTTTTCGGGCTGTGTGGCCATGTTCTAGAAGAGTTTATTTCTGATGTTTTGCCAGCATCTGTGGCTGGCATCTTCACAGATGCTGGCGAAACGTCAGAAATAAACTCTTCTAGAACATGGCCACACAGCCCGAAAAACCCACAAAAAAATTATGGATGCCGGCCATGAAGGCCTACAACTTCAAGTTGTTGATCACTTGTAAGGAAAAATATGCCTTCATATCTTCCTTCCCAGTGCCCCATCAAAACATGAAAAATCTCCAAAATCATCTTCTAGGAAAACTCTCCAAATGAAAGATCTGTAATTTCATATTATTAGAAAGTGTGGTTAACCCCCTCCCCAGTTTAAAATAATTTCATGCAAATATATAATTTGACTTATACACATGTCAAATATACTCACTGGTATAATTTATTCTAATTGATATTTTAAAGTATAGATTTCAAGAGCTTCAGAGTATCAGTCATCTGATTTTTCTAGTATGCCTTTCAAATGAATCTGAACTGTACATCAATTGACACCTATACCCAAGTTTTGAAAACTGTACTTCAAACTGTGCCTTACATACATAATATATTTCTTCTGTGCATTCATGGACTGGATTTTCATCTTTCTTGTTTTCCAGCTGGGGTAATTATAGTGGGAAATTTGAACAGCTTAAGCCGTACTAGTGCTGCCATCCCTGCTGATTCCTACCAGATTGGGGCCATTGCTGGCATCATTATTCTTGTCCTTGTTGTCCTCTTCCTGCTAGCACTATTCATCATTTATAGACAAAA